AAAATAATTCGAGAAGAGATTGTTAATAATTTTTTTTCTTTTTTTTTTTTTTTATTAAACATTTCTTTCAAATGTAAGATTATTTAGTTATTTATGCGTTGTTGGTTATTTGGATTTCATTTGGAACGATATTTTTCACACACTGTTTGAAAAATCACGGACGGGGTCATGGGAAAACGGTAAGAATGATCTTATCTATTGATCGTGATTAAAAAGAAGGATTTTTTTTTCTCCAAGGTCTTACAGTTTCACGATTGTAAATTTAACGAGATGTAATAAATCGACGGAAGTCCCCATTGATCGGTATATTGTTATTATTTAACGTATCACTAATTATCTCGCGTATTTTAATGATCATATGTATATATATATATTTTTTATTTCTTCTTTTTTTGCAGTATAACATATCACAGAGTGTCAGATTTTTTTTCTTGGTCAAACTATAAAAGATTATTTTTTCAACGATAATACTTATATCAAAACAGGAAGTGTTTCTATAACTCGTAAACCATAACCAAAGCCCCTATAGAACTAGTTGCCAACCATGGATTGCAATGAACTTCGTCGTAATATTTTTTATCAAAAAAGATAAGTCGTTCTATTTTTTCTTATTTGAAAGTTTGAATTATAGATTTCAAATTCTTATCGATAATATATTGAACCGAATTTGAATAGGATTCAATTAATTCGTTCATTTAATTATTTTAATTTGCATATCTAGCCAGTAATAGATCAAGAAGTCATTCGCCAATTTATTTGCCAGAATAGAATGCAATTAAAACGGTAATCGAATTGTTGAATTTCATTAAGATGTTCTTATTACACACCACGTGCGAATAAAATTACATTAAATTAAATTACATTACATTACATTACTTACCCGTTGCTAACCGAGGTACTATACAATATAGAGGTTCTTGGTACCGTTTTTCATGCGTCACCGTAACGGTCACCCGGTATGCAGACACGTTCTCTTCAGAACTGTGTATAACGTTACGAACGATTGCAAACTTCGTCAAGAAGAAAAACGAAAGATTGAAGGAGAAGACAAAAACTGTCGAATCGTTTTATTTCGTTTCAGTTTTGTTTCATTTTAACGAAATTTTAATTGCATCGTAATACTCGTTACTTTAATTATTCTTACGCGATGATTATGATGATGATGATGATGATAATGATAATAAAATCGCGTAATATTTTTACTTGTAAATTAACGAACAACAAAAAAATAGAATTCGTTAGAATAAATGAACCGATATAGAAATGCATTCAACTTTTGCAAGGATACTTTCACTGACATTTTTTTTTTTTTCTAAACGGATCTCTTTTACGCAACGATTTGTTTCTCTTCTCTTTGGTTCAGATCTTTTTATGAGAAATGATTTTATAATAAACAAAAAAATTAAAGAGAACAATATTTATCACGAAATCGTTTGTATTAAAATTTGAATTAAAATATTATATCATTGAACGTTATGTATAATATGTGTATAATTCATAAACAATTATTACTATAAATTATAAATGTCATTTATAAATATCATATTAAATATATTGTATTTTTTTTATATGATATTCTATAAGTATATATATTAATTATTATTTATTATTTATATACATTATATATATATATATAAAAATGATCTAATATTATAAACTGATATTATAAACAATAAATCACTCCTAGAAATAGCAATAAAAAAAAAAAAGGTTATTATAACAGGACAAAGTCCTAATAAAAAAAAATGAGGAAAAAAAAAGGAAGAATATTATAAACAATAATATATAAATCTAGAAATATTTATATGTGTTTATAATACTTGATAGGGTATCATTATTGGAATGTTCGATGGCAAAAGAAAAGAAAAAAAAAAGAATCGGTGCATCGAGATCGTGTTACGTTTTCAGCCACACCACCAAGAATGACTTTCTATTCATTTGCTATTCGTGTAAGAGATTGAAGTATATCAAACAATGCAAAGTGGTCACTTCCTGCTCCGTTAACCGCGAAAGTAATTTATTATTCGACCGAGTACAACGGTTACCCCCGTAATACACAGAAAACAACAACAACAACAATAAAAAGTAGCGCGTGCAAATAAATCATTGTTTTGGAAAAATCTTTCGACAAATTTGCACGAACGAACGTACGTTCGTTCACCTTTTATTTCATTCGCGAATAATAAATAGTAAGAGAATAAATAAATATGTAGAAAGTTTTGTAAAAAAAAAGAAGAAAGAAGAAAGAAAAATTCGTGACATAGTTAATTATCTAATCATTAACCTCGACCACACACACACACACACACTCTCTGATCATTTTTCGAATTCAGAGAAATCAGAGCCTGTCGAATTAATTCATTTTTTAATTCATTCCATTAGTCATTATCATAAATATTTTCTTTTTCTTTTTTGTTTAGACTCTCTCTCTCTCTTTTAAATTATTAAAGCAAATTATATTTTTTTTTCGAATCCAATTCTCGTTGCTGCAATTTAATCTCGTTATTATTGTAATTTTTATAATATAATTCAATATATGTCTGAGGAAATATATTAAAATAAATTATAATATATATAATACATTTTGTGGTATGTTTTTTTTTTTTTCTTTTATTTTTTTTTTTTCAGAATAGTCTCGCGAAATCACGAAGAGGAGGTTTTACGTATTTTAAAAATAAATCACGCGTCGATATATTCGTGTATATTCCCAAAAAAAAAAAAACCCCATGCGAAAGTAAGAAGTGAATTTTTCGCAGCAGAGAAAGTTGCCGACTATTCAGATATTTATTTCGAAAACCACAAGCGAACGTTTTTTGAATTCTTTTTAAGAGAGAAAATACGTGTTCGGGTAAATTTAGAAATTCTTTCTCGAATTCTCTCTCTCTCTCTCTCTCTCTCTCTCTTATTTTTATTTTGTATTTCTCGAGAAGAATTGAATATAATTCAAGAATCCAATAATACTTCTTAATCTTAATAAATAAATATATATATATATATATAAAAAATTGTGTCGAAATTAAAAAACAAAAGGGATAAAAAAAATCGATGGGTTTTAGGTAAAACTCAATTGTTATTACAATTATTATTTTGTTACTGTTATTTTCGTTATTACAATTTGTTGTTATTAATATTATTATCGTTAGTCTGGCAGATCTGGCGCATAACAATATAGTAAAATATTTCTAATTCACATTAATTATCAACAACAATGATAATCTCTCTCATTTTAACAATGATAGCAGCTAATTAACTAGCTTCCTCATTTGCTATTACGAGGAAGATAACGGCTTGGTCGTGATATGAAAAATAATATTCTAAATCGATCAGTGTTAAATTAAAAACATCATCCGTTTATCTTTTCTTATATTATAATTTCGTTATTACACATTATCAAACAAGCATAACGAACATTTAACAACTTTTCATTTCTTTCTTTCTTTATTATTTTTTTTTTTCGTTTTCGTTTTCGTTTTCTTTTTTATAAATGCGAAATGTGTGTTCGTATTAAAACGAAGGAAGGAGGAACGATAGAAAACATGAATGTTTTCAACGTGCTGAATCGATCTTTTAAATCGATCGATAAAGTAAAATAAAAAATAAGGAAAATCGTTAATTAACGATCATCAATGTTAATAAAATTCGTCAGTAAGGATGTAACGCAGCTAATCCAAGTCTAGGTGGTTCTGCATAACTGTGACGATATCTACCGGGTGTCGGAACTATTTCCAACGGTGGTCTGGCACTTTCACGATCGAGACCAGGGTATCTCTCGTGTTCTGATAATTCTTGATAAGTGGTGTTAGCTCTTGCGCGTACTTTTTCACGTAATTCTCTCGTGTATGCTCGATCTCGAAAATCTCTTGACTGAAATTAAATGTTCATTATAAAATATTTTTAAATTCTTACAAAAAATGGACTATTATTTGTACGTGTGATATATAATTATTTCTATATGATATAGATTTGAAAATTTATAGATCATTAACATTAGATTTACGTATATTTTGTTAATTATTTTTGAAAAAGTTATAAACATTATTGTAATGAAGAAGTGGTTAAAGGAAAGGAATATAATATTTACGTATATTTCATTACTTAAGTATTAAAAATCAACATTATATGTGATGCATAATTGTAAAGCTATTATATTTCTATTCATTCTATATTAAATATTTTTATATAAGTAGAATTAACCTCGGTGTATGTTAATCTCACACCTCTACACTGAACCCAATCCTACATATATATTTAAAAAAAAATAATTCAATTTTATATATTATTATGTATCAAAACAAAATTTGAAATGAGAGTCAAATTGTTCGGCTCAATCCGTAAATCTAGTGTTAAATTAATAACGATTGTATCGTGTTTCAAATATATAAAAACAAAAAAAAAGGGTTAAAATATTATATAAATGAATTTCTCACATCTCGAGGATCGATAGAATTCCTTTGATCACGAAACTCTCTCCCAACAATTGGATTTTCATAAAAGCTTCTTGGCCGTGGCCTAGTGGTAGTCTCAGATTCCGAAGGTTGTTCAATACCATAATGATGAGTTCTAGGTCTTGGTCTTGCTCGATAAGGAAGTTCATTTTCTCGATCAAGCTCAGGATGACTTCGTCTTATTTGTTGTTGCTGTTGTTGTTGTTGTTGTTGTTGTTCGTGTACAGAGGAAGAATTCATATTAGTTTGATGGGAACGTATAGATCGATCTTCGTGAACCTGTCTCGATGATTCCACCCTGTATGTAAGATCAAATGGAAAAGAAATAATTATTACCAGTTGGATAATGATTATTCAGGTGTATAAGAGAAATCTCGCATTTCTAAATATGACGTTTAGAAACTTTGATGATAAAATAATGAAAATAAGAGGAATGAAAACCGAATCTGACCAAATACGATGAAAATAATGAAAATGACTATACGTGACGACACGTTTCAACTTTTATACAAGAAAATATATAAAATCAAGTAGTTTCTAGGGAATAATCTGGTTTCTATCTAGGAGAAAACCAGATCAGTTTAAATTGAATATCTTACTTTTCCTTCGATCAATAACAACACAACTAAATCTTCTTATTTATTATCATAGAAAACTTGACTACCTGTGTACATGATGATGATGATGATGACCATCTGACTCTCTCTGCCTTGAGAGAACTGGTCTTGCAATGGCTTCCCTTTCCATTGCCCTGAACATTTCTTTAGCATCTTGGAACCTCTCTCTTGGGCTGGTTACTTCTCCAGGATTGATTCTTGGCTGATATTGAGGACTCGGAGACCTTTGTCTTAATTCTGGTGCTCTACGATTTCTATTACAACCTGGTGAGACCCCTCTCGTTTGTTGTTGCTGAATTTGATGTCTTTCTGGACTTCTAGGTAGCCTTGGTAATGTCAAACTCGAACCAGTAGTCTCTACGTCTTGGAAATAATGACTTTCCTCTGTAGCTGCACCCCAGTCGTCATCTGTAAAGTAATTAATATTAATAGATTCCTATATGGTATATATATACACACATACAACAGGTAAAGAAACTTTAAGATTTTAGGTCAACGTGTGGTTGGTTAGATGATGAAGAAAAAGTAATGTGAAAATATCGTAAATGAATCTTTCCTCTGAACTATTAGAAATTCTTTAAGTACATATATATATAGCGAAGAGAGTCATGATATAAACGTTCCTAGATAAAATCTCTAGCATCTCGGTCAGTAAGGTGACTCGAGAAAACGCGAGTCAAGGCAATTCGGTCTTGTGGAATTCTGTAATGCAGAATCCGAGAGAGGTTACGAAAAGATTTTAAAGTGTGGACAGGTAGGGAATGAATGGAGAGAGATGGACGATGCCTTCTTCTTCCTCTTTTTCTTATTCTTCTTCTTCTTCTTCTTCTTCTTCTTCAATAAGACACGAAGAAGGCTAAAGAAAGCCTCAGGCTATGGGCCGAGAATGCGGAACTTCATGTTTGGCCTCCCACGAGCTCGATTTACGTACGAATTTTCTTGGATTCCACATTAGTCCTGGTCAACGTTATAGAAAAGGACACTGTATCATAGTTATTATGGTCTCCTCATCACAATTATTATCATCATCATCATCATCATCATCATCATCATTTTCATCCTCATCCTCATCCTCATCGTTAGAAACATCGTAATCGTCTTCTCTTCTGGTCATTACTATCATCGTCTGCCAACGACCTCGCTTCTTTCTTCATACACCGTCTCGTCTTTCTCTAGAACGCACCTCAAAACCACTATTTTGCGCAATAATCTCTAGCATAGAGAAATAGAAAGAGAGAAATAGAGACAGAAAGAGAGAGAGAGAGAGAGAGAGAGTTGGAGTGCCGTTACCGTGTTAAGTTCTTAGTGTTAAAGGTTGTCGAGTCGATTGACTAACATCTTCTCAATATCAGGATGAAACTAGGATAAAGTGTTTTGTCTTTTCATCATACCTGCTTACCTGTCTGCCTGCCTGCCTGCGTATATTTAATTTGAATAATTTTCATTGAATTAATTCGCTAATAATTCTCATTTAAGTTATAAATCTACTCAAATCTAATGACGTGGTGTAAAATAAATAAAAGAGAAATTGACAAATGACATAATTTTTTTGTTTAGAAATAATCTTACATTAGATAATATTAATACTATAACGTTCGTACGTTTAATTTTAATTTTTTCATGTCGCGCCGCTTATTTATTAATTTTTCGCATGGCACCAACGTAGAGCCATTGGCATTTAYTCGATATTTTTCGCATGGCACCAACGTGGAGCCACCGGGCATTTATCCGATATTTTTCGCATGGCACCAATGTGGAGCCATTAGCATTTATCCGATATTTTTTGTATGGCACCAACGTGGAGCCACCGGGCATTTACCCGATATTTTTCGCATGGCACCAATGTGGAGCCACCGGGATAGTGTTATAGTGTTAAGAATAGAATAATTTAGAATAATATTAGAATAATTTAATAACAATGATAAATAATATATCAATCATTAGTAATTTATTTGTTTTCGTTTCTCGTGATTAATTTGATTATTATTATTATTATTATTATTAATAATCAATTAGGTGAATTGACTAGGTGATCGAGTTGCTGAGGAAGTCCCCAGTAAGGGACGAAACGTTCAACAAGATCAAATAAATTTGTTCATCAAAATTTATTAACTGTCTTCAATTTTCCCTTTGAAACTCATATATATTATTATTATTATTATTATTTGTTTCTTTTCTTTTTTATTGTATGGAAATAATTAATACGGAGCAAGTGTTTCTCTTTCGAAGTAGAGGAACGATATTTGAATAGTAATACGGAATCGATTTCACGGCAAACTACCTCCGTGCGACGTAATAATTTAAATCGAGGTTCCCTTGGAAGCGTGCCGGGACAATTCCTCGCTTGGAATCTAGGCAACGCACGATGGTTTCACGCGACTACTTACTTACCTATTACGTATACACCGATACGTACGCAAATTGCCTATATAATTTATGCCGAGCATCTAGAAGTATACCAGTCCTAGTATACCGATCTAGAATCATGATTTGTATTCGATTGATGGTTGAATGAATGAAAGAACGATAGTTGACATTGGAAAGCGTTGATTGACATTCATTCGAAATCAGAACAAAAATTTTGATTACGAATACGAACATTTATTTTCGTATAAAAATAATCACAGGTAGGGGGGTTGACAAATTTTCAAACACAAACGTTCGAGTTTAAACAATTCTTTGCAATTATTTCGCACAATTACTGTGATCATCTGACGTTAGATGTTATTTAAAAAACACACACACACGAAAAGAAATTACATACAATTTGATTGAAATATTAAACCCTTTGAGTGTGCTATGAACGGCATATATGCGTTTGATAAAAGTATCAATGTGAATGTAAAATATAATGTAATATTTTTCTTATATCTTGTCAGATGAAAATAATATTGTGTGAAAGAAAAATTATAATTATTAAATATAATTTATTAATATTAACATATCTTATATAATTATTTCATTCGTAGAAAAAAAAAAAACACTACTTCAGTTAAAAATATTCAACACTCAAAGGGTTGTGTTCGATTCTCGTAATCTCGTAGAAATTTTGAATAGTTAAATAATTACGAACAGTATGTGTTTTAGGTCAGTTGAAATAATTTATTTGATAGATAGATAGATAGATAGATGTTTAATGTCAGCGAGATAATGAATAGATAGGATAAGTTTCGGAGATTTAACATGTGACGTTTGTAGTATAATCGATAGCACGAGTCAATCCAAAGCTGGTTGGTTTTTGCGGTCGAGTAAAAGCCCTAGAATCGAGATACATGTGCCCGTAGGCTGGTACCTGTCGCTGACACGACGTCCTAACGGTACACCTTCCACTGTAACAGGTGCCCAAGCTTGGTGGTACTCTCTCTCTCTCTCTCTCTCTCTCTTTTTCCCTCTCTTTTCATCTCGTTCCATCTCACGTATGTATATAGATATATATATACATACTTAAACACTGAAGTATATCCGATGTTAAGTTGTTCTTTTTTTTCTCTCTCTCTCTCTCTCTCTCTTGTATTTTTTTTCTTCTTTTTATTATTTTTTCTTTTTCTTCTTTCGTCTTTATCGATATGGGTCAGTCGTCAGTCGTCCGTTAAAAAAAACGTGTTTGTAAAAGAAAATATAAAAATAAATGGAAATCGTCAATATCTTTTAATTTTCATCTCGTTTATATTGTATATCATATTATTACATTTCATTAATATACTAATCATTAATATATAACAAGAAGAATTTTCAATTTGTTTTTTTTTTCCTTTTGTATATTTTTTATTCATTAAATTGATATACTTGAATTATATTTTCTAATCACGAGGGGTTTTAACTGGTAAGGATATCGCACCGTTCGTTTCCGTTTGAATATCAAATTGGACGTAAGAGAAAGAATAAGATGACGACGAGGATGATTAAGAGAGAGAGAGAGAGAGAGAGACTATATATATAAAAAATACCAAGCATGCAGACGTAAGTGTTCGACACACCATCGGATTTTCGAGGTGGTTAAAGAAATTGGGTTAGGGGGTCGGGCAACGTTCGTTGCTTCTGCCCGGTTTTCTACGAGAGACGATAAGATTCGTGCGGACACACCTGCCGAGCGAATAGAAAGCGTCCAAATTTCTGTCTTTCCAACTTGCATTCCTTATTCTAACGACGTTCGACATTTTCAAAAAAAAAAAAAAGAAAAAAGAGAAACTACAGAATTCAAGAAAGTATCGTTGCAATAATAATGATACTTGACGGTTTAAACACGTTGAGCAAGTCTACACGAAATGACAATAAGAAAAGAAAACATTACATTGAATTCAATCGAAGTTCAAGTAACAATTAAAAAGAAAAAACAAAAAACTGATGTGTGTACTTGTGTACACACGTAAAAAGTTATACTTCTTTAGCGTATCAAAACGAACATAACCTCAATAACCTCAAAAATAACTTCAATTATCTCGCGTAACAATATAATGTTAAAATAAAAAATGAAGTTATTAAATACCATTGATAAAGGTTTTAATTAATATGTACAATCTTAATTTATTTATTTACGTATTCATGCCAGTAAATTTGAAATCGTTTTTCCCGCGCATCGTATAAATATCATCGACAACTTCGTGGTGTCGATTTTGTTCGGTCGCATCTAAATTCACTTTCCAAAAGCGCGCCCAAAATAAATATAACTTCAAAAACAACAACATAAAAAAAAAGAAATAGTAATCATCAATCGATAAAAAGAAGTATGAAAGTTTTAGATTGATTATTACGAACTCATCTCTCTCATACCATTCATTATTCTATAAATAATTATATTATAAAAAATGGTTTTCCCATCGGTTACCATCAATTTCCTGTTGATAATCCGCAAAAATAGAAGTAATAAGATAGACTAGATGAAGAAAGAGAGAAATAAGAAACTTTCACTTTCGTTTTAAAGCCAAGATCTAGCTAGGTAGCTAGTAACCACGGTAGTCATGATGATGAATATCCTCTTTACGCGTTACGACGCGTTCATTGGATCGATCCGATCGATACGATTGACGACTTTCCATGAGTTTATTTTATAGACATACGATAAATAGTTACGACCGCATATGTAAGTTTATTCAATAGAGAGTGCATTGAACTAACGAAGTGTAGAGGAGGCCTGAATTCCCATAGAAATCGTTCTTACCGACACATCAGTAGTAAATAAGAAACAGATTGGAACCACACACACACACACACACACAGACAAGAGATAAAAAGAAATTTCGATAAAATGAAGTTGGAAATTTGTTATCTTACCGGAAGATGAATCTCTCGAAGGTCTCGAAGGTCTTGGGCCTAAGGGATGATGAGATTGATATGGTGGTGGAGTAGCTGCACTATCCGATCCAATTCCGCTGCTAGCTGCACTCCTTGTACCACCTCGATCAACAGCTGTGCTACCACCCACTATGGTTTGATTTAAGCAACGTCTAAATTCGATACCTGCCAGGTTACCACGATGCCTGTGAACTGTGTCATAATCACGTGGTGGTAACAATATAGGTCCTACGTCGTTGTCTCCTCCTGAATTGCCACGACCTAACGGAACAAAGATAATGACATCATTTCTCATATATTTTTTCTTTTAAACTTGATTTCATAATTAATATCATGATTATTTTTGTTGGTTTATAATATTGTTATTTCTCTTACCTAATTTAGCTCTCAATTCAGCTGCCAATGATTCGTAAATCGTAGTTGTTTGTATAGGATCATGTTTCAATTCTCCGCTACCTTCTGATGATTCGGATTCCCTTGTACTTCGTCCATCGCTACCCAAATTACTTCGGATTCTATTACCTTCACCGGAAGATGATATTCTTCCTAAATTATCTGCTTGCAAAGCCAATGCCTTCAATTGTCCACCCAACAATTCAGCAGTCTCAACCGAATCGCATCTGATCGAACGGAAAGTTTCGATAACGGTATTTGTCTGTGTATGTATGTATGTATATGTGCGCGCGTGTGTGTATGTATGTATATTCAATGGTTTATCATTATTAATATTATAATGAAATCACACACATATAATGATAACTCAAGTGGTAATTAGAATCCATAAACTGGGCCAGGTTTTCCATAACAAATCACGTTTATCTCGGAGAAACCGAAGGCTTCTGATCTCTTGAAACTTTAAACCATGAGAATATAAGAGAGTAGGTGGATTCCTCATCATATCGAGGTATAATGAAAAAAAAAAAAAATACGTTAACGGCTCGTTATACGAAGGAGAAGCATAATTAAGTAAGATAGCGACCTATTAATCCGTACGAAGATCGAATTGATGAACCGAACGACCTCCATCTTTGGAAAAAGCGCACAATTTTTTCTTTTCTTTTTATAACATCCACATATTAATAAATATTATAAAATAAAGAAAAAATGAAACGCTAATAATATTATCATTTATTTATTAGATATTAAAAGAAAATAATGAAAATAATGTAAAATAGTTATGATAATAAATTGAGATGAAAGTATGATAAAGAATTAATGGCCAAGCGAAGGCATAAAATTCTACATAATCGGACACGAAATGGAACAATTAAGAGATTATAATATATTATTATAATAAATATATATATATATAAAAAGATAATATATAAAAACCTGTATGCATGAACATGAACTGGATTATTGGTAGCAGGATTTGGTAAAAGCAGAGTAGCTGCTACGATGTCTTCTCGTTGTACAGCAGCCAATACAGCATGACCTGGTACCAAATGCTTCACAGCTGATCTAGTAGAACCTCCAGGATGAACAGTCTGAATAATCTTCAGACCCTTGCTGCTCACCTGTCGACAAGAATGAAATCTTAATCTTGTTACACATCAGTTACACGTTACCAAGCATATTTTGAAAAATAAATAATCATTTGTAATAGAGATATCTTTATGATTTGATCTAAGATAAACACGTATACGTTCAAATATTATTCCAAGGATATTTATAAGTTTGTATATTAATCTTATTTGATTTTTAATATAGATCTAATCATTTCAAATAATTATTTCTATCTCGTATGTTTTTTTAATCAAATGTTTCATTGCAAAATTTATGATCAAAGGATATATCAATGGATACATATATTATACAATGTTCAAACAAAGGTGCGTTCAAATTATCTTACTTTTATATTATTGATCTAATAATCTAAAAATAATTTTTTTCAGTATCTCTCGCGTAAAATTATGATAAGATATGGGCGTTTAAAATGATAACGATTAAACCATTCGTATCTGACGTATGAATAAACAAACAAACAAACAGAGATGTAGAAAAATCTGTTCAGTTAGATAGAAAACATGAAATTGTCTCGGTAATAAACTGGTCTGTATTTTTTTTTTTTTTACGTTTTGTTTCTTACTTTGACACACGCGTGTAAGCATTGTTCAAGATAGCGGAAACGAACAGAACGTAATTACTACATCTCGCTCTCGACTATTACGTGCGATCCTCGTTTAGAAGGCCAAAAGAGGAAGAAGTAAAAGAAAAAAAAAAAAAGGAGAAAAAAAAAACCAACACGTTCAGAAAGAAGGCGTCATATCTTATAACACATTCTTATTATTATTACTACTACTACTACTACTACTTAAAAACAAACAACCTAAGCAATTATTATATCTATCTAAATTATCTCATCGAGTCGTGATAACAACATTGGTCATTGTTTTTCGTATGATAAATTTTAATACATAATATGAACCCCACCCACCCAC